CATTCTACACATTCTCTTATATACTAATGTACCCTTTAGCCCAACATTCTACACATTCTCTTATATACTAATGTACCCTTTAGCCCATACATGCATAAATCTTCCTTTACAACAAACAAAGAAAATATTACCTCTTCTTATTAACCAAATAATACAAACTGATTACTGTGTTATTACCTCGTCACTAACTAGCAATGTGTTGTTTTTTTAATAACAGTCAACAATGTAGGGGTGATGTATGACTACCCAAGTTTGTTTCTTGAAGTTCCTGAAACAGTGAGTCAAAAATTTCTGTTTTATCTCACTGTGTTGTTTGCTGTATTTTAGTCTTGTGATGATGTTATGCAATGTTCTTCCTAAATTAATAAGCATTTAAGTTTTTTTTACTAACATCATAGTAGAATCATGGTTAACTTGTATTAATAACATTTTCTATTTGTATAGAAAAAAATAAATGTCACTATAAGTGGGATAATTAACTCATTAGTAAAGTTTTGGTCAGTCATATTTTGCATACTTAGAACAAATACAAGATCAGTTTTGACTTGTAGCTAAAAACGTAACTCTTGAAAGATCAAATGAAGTAAAATAAGTGGCAACAGATGGTTTCAAGTAACAAGAGGTTTTATTTTCATTTAGAAAATCTGGCAGTGTATAAATGTCAATATGATGTCAGTAACTATGATGACTTATATCATTCTGCCTGAGATGGTCAAAAGGTAAGTTAATACAATCACTGTTTATTATCTCCATATTAAAAACTGTTACCATGTTGATACATTTGGATCTTCTATAAAATGTTAATAAACTATACAACATGAGATATTTGATGCTTCATGTATTGATTAAGCCTATCAACTGACTTATTTAGAATTAGTAGTTTTGACCACTGTCATCAAGTCGTATTTTGAATTCCAGGTAACATTTGTCACCAACTGCTAAGTTAAACTTTAAACTTACGAACTGTTATCATTTCGTGCAGGTGTGAAAAAAGTGATAAGGTGAATATCAGATACAGCCAGCAACAGATATTTCCTAAGCTATAACTTCACGGTAAAAGCTAACAAGAAAACTTCAACTTTCAAACTAATTTGAGAGAGAACTGTTATCCTAATTATCATAAAATGCATAAACAAGTAACATTGAGTTGGGTGTTGTTTTTTAAATAAATATACAAACAAAAGTATGTTTCTAGAGAGGTTTGTTACGATTAGAATTACTTTTCTTAAAGGAGAAGAGGACTTGTCATCAACATGTCATCCACTTCATCCTTCTATCCTCTTCCACTGATGGCAGCGTACTCAGCTTCAAAGGTGGGTATCATTTATAATCTGATATAGTACCAGTGTATATGTGTATACTTGTTGATGGAAGTCTGTATGTATCAGAAAGGTAATGTGTTGAACTTTAGTGCTAATGTTGATGCATTCTGTTAAGAAGTACATTGAACACAACATAGGACAAAATGGTGCGAGATTAAGTGTTCTGCCATTTCATATTGGTTACAGAGACGTTTAAGAAAGCATCATGGTGTTAGGCATGATTTAGTGCATTTTAAAGGTCAGCAATGGGGAATTCTTTGCTTGGAAATTAAGTTTTGCTTGGAAATTAACTTAATTGTTGAGAACATTGTTTGCAGAACACTGGCATGATCCAAGAGGTTGTGAATTAGAACCCAAGTGGGGGCAGGTTTCATAACATCCTGGTACATTAACAACTTCCTGACCTCTTGTGTCTTTACGGGAATTTCAAAGTAAGGGGTCACGTAGGTGTTTGTTGCCCAGTTTTGTCCTGACAGGAGACCGCGTGCGACTGAAAAGGATGCATGAATGTGTCTAAACTAGTTTTTCTGGTATCCGACTTCTGACAGTTTGTTCCATTTACTGTGTTTTTTTTGTTTTTTCACCAATTCTAATTCTATTTTAACAATTTTTATTTCAAAATACCTACAAATTTACATTTTGAAACTTAAAATTTTATTTTGTCCAATTTGCAAGTAAAAATGTAAAAGCTGTTTAAACTTTGACTTCTATGCAGATCCAACAGGTATTCCCTGTAAACAAAGCCCTTTGACATTTAAAAAATGTATTTTCTGCTCATCCCGAACTATAGGTTTATATTCACCTATACCCTAGAATCCTTTAAAAATAGATTTCTCCAAGGTTTCGTTTCTCACTTGACATTTCTTTATTTTAGTAATTATTTCAAGAATTCTGTGTTGAGAGGCTTTTCTGATGCTACAGCTAGTGGGTTGGGTAGTGACTAATAAATCTTGGCCTTAAAAAAAGATAGAAACCAATGGATTGGATTGGATAGAAAAGATTCGTCCACATCAGTGTAATGTAGTTAATGCTCGGTAATCTTGCTAAAGCTGTAATGTATGATTTTTGAGAACTTGATTAGCAGAACTTCTCCTAGTTGCGAGCAGAGGATTCTAATATAGCTTATGAAACTTAGGAACAGACCAGAAATCTGGGTTATTTTTTTAAAGTTCATTTTCATGATATTTGGATTTGTGATAATCTTCTTGTGTTATATTATTTCTGTTTTAAAACTACATAAATATTTGTATATTGAAAGACAAGGTAAGGGTATACAGTGTTAGTGAGTATGTAAAGCTAGGTGCTCTGTGAATGCAAGCTATTCATGTGACAGTAAAGCTTTTTATTTGTATTAGTACATTTAATATTACTCAAGCAACACATACAAGTAAGGGATTTCCTTAGTTATTGACAACAAATTATAATTATTAAAGAAAAATATAGTTGGAAAAAAACATACTACTTGTATTGGTTTGTAGATATAGGGTAATAAATAGTAAATAATAAATAGTTTTGTCTTTACTGGTCAAACATTGTTTGCTCGTGTTTTATCCTATTTGTGCTACTACATAACTGCTTTAATAGTTAAGGATAAATAACAAACATAAATAAGTGAGGAAACTAAAATAAGTTAAACGTAATTGGATATATCAAATGAAACTGTCTGATCGATAATAGTAAAAAAAATAGTTTTATATCTTTCATACTTTTGATACTTACTTTCTTTGTACGTGAGAGTGTGTTTGTTACTACAACAACAGAAACAACAATAATAGTTTTATTGAAAATACAACTCAAATACATTTACACGATTCAAAAAACAAAACTGAGTCAAAAGGAAGTAATTTTTAATTTTTTTTAAAGAATTTGAAAACAGTTTCCAAAAGTACGATAGATATACTAAACCAAATATATAATTTTTTTTTTAAAAGCACATACTACATAAAAAGTGTATGAATTTTCATGCAATTAGGTTAAGAATTTTAAGCGTGAGAACAACGGTGACCAACATCACTCTGCTGGTTACTTGGAAAGCGAGCAAGGAGTGGTGTGATGTGATAGGCTTACGTTAGAGCCTTTTGTAAAAGAAACTACACCGCAGGACTCGTGTAGATGCGTGGCCGTCAGATGTAGCATGACAACAGGGATTGTAATGACGTGAAGCTCCAGAACTGATTTAAGATAATATATTCAACCTCTGTGTCATACGCACATTACTACTGAATGTTATAGATTTCTATATTCAAAGTATCAACAGGATACAATTGATCTGCTTGTTATAAAGTCTTAACTTCTCAAATTATTATTATAGGAAATTAACGTGTATATTAATTATATCTACACTTTCCACTCGTAAGCAAGATATTTGTGTCTCCATTTTGAATATTATTATTAGTTTTAACAAAAAACAATTTTATTAGGATATGTAGATAAGTATCGTAATGTAGAAACTTGATAATAAAAAATTGAGATTAAATAAATGTGGTAGTCTCCTAAACTTGATTATCAATTAATCAAGTGTTCTACCACCAAATGTACCGATCTTTTCAAAGTACAAAACACCGTTTGCCAAAAGGAACAAGAACTGGTACATTAATATTAAATTGTCAGTATAGATCTCTTGTATAATTTATAGTATACATTGGTACATTAATATATAACTGTCAGTATAGATCTCTTGTATAATTTATAGTATACATTGGTACATTAATATTAAATTGTCAGTATAGATCTCTTGTATAATTTATAGTGTACATTGGTACATTAATATTTAATTGTCAGTATAGATCTCTTGTATAATTTATAGTATACATTGATACATTAATATATAATTGTCAGTATAGATCTTTTGTATAATTTATAGTATACATTGGTACATTAATATATAATTGTCAGTATAGATCTTTTGTATAATTTATAGTATACATTGGTACATTAATATATAATTGTCAGTATAGATCTTTTGTATAATTTATAGTATACATTGGTATAATATTAAATTGTCAGTATAGATCTCTTGTATAATTTATAGTATACATTGGTACATTAATATTAAACTGTCAGTATAGATCTCTTGTATAATTTATAGTATACATTGGTATAATATTAAATTGTCAGTATAGATCTCTT